GACATTCATTGCACTTCTTCCATCAATAATTAATCTACATCTTCTCTCATTACAAACAACATGCATACTAAAGAATATTCTTTCTCCTCCAATCCCAGTTTGTTTTTTGGTAAAAGTCAAACATCTCACTACATTTATTGGAGGGTCATTAAGGAATTCTAGGTCACCCTTAGAAAGAAGTGTCATCATAAACTTCTTCAATGTCATCATCAATAGGATTTTCGATTTCGTCCATAAAAATAATATGGGGCTTTACATTGGTTTTGCATATGTCCCTTTTTATGGTATTTAAAACACATGATATCGTTATTATTTTTTAAACTCCCATTAGTAGGAGCTTTGGGATGTTGGGTTTGACTAGTATGATGAGTGGCTTTAGCATCGAGTTTATGTGATGAAGTGGAGAGTGTTTGTCCTTTTAATTTTGAAAGTTAAAAGAGATGAGGATTTCCTTTGATTTTCTATTAACAAAGTGTAATGAAAGGCCTCTTCTAAGGTTTGGGGTTCAAATAACTCAACTTCATCTGTAATGTCCACTCTAAGACCAATGACAAATTTATTGGGCAATTGCCAATCTTTGTCAACGTAGTTGATTCTGGCAATTAGGTCTTCAAATGTGTTCAAGTATTCAGTCACGGGAAGACTACATTACCAAAACGTGCCCATGTAATTTTTTATCATGATGTCCAGGACAATATTTGATTCTTAACATCTCTTTCATTTCAATCCTAGCGAGAGTGTTCCTTCCTAACCTTCATTCTTTAGCTAATGTATTATTTCAATAAATTTTAGCATGACCAGTAAATTTCATTTTGACAAATGAAATTCTTTGATAATCATCCATCTTATAACAATCTAAAAAATCATCCATTTGGACTAACCAATCTAAGAACTTATTAGGATCATGGGTTCCATCATAGGACATCATAGGATCATAGGATAGAGCTTCAACTTTAATTTTCCTAAAGAGGTCATTAAAATCATCATTATTTCGATAAATATGGTCCCTTCTACTTTCATTTCTAAGATTAGGTTGTCTTCTACGAATTTGGTCTTCTCTTGGCTCTAAGAACGAATCATTTTCTTTTAATAGTGCAATGTGAATTTGGGTAGGTGAGGTGGCAGGGGGCTTATTCTTTTGAAGAAGGTTTAGAATTGCTTGCACTTGATCTTTTAAATCTTACATTTGATTTTTAGCCTCGTCAAATAACTTTTTTATTCTTAGTATCACTTTCATGACTCCTAAGATCTAAAGAATCAACCATTCGAGCTAAATTTATAATTTGATCTCAGGAAACTGATTTTGATGTCATGACGCCTTTCTCTTTTTTTTTTGTGAAGAGAAATGAGAGATGAAAAAAATAAAGAATATGTATATAAATAAAGTTAATCTTCAGATAAAGAATTTCTAGGTGATGAGGGGGGTACAAAGACCACTTACGTCCCAAGCTCCCCTTAGGTAATTTAAATATTTTTGCCTCAAATACACTAATGTTTATACACATATACTCTTATGAAAAAAATTTTAAATGCAATTTGCTTAGATCAACAAACCCATGTTCTTAAGATGGCAAAGTTCCTTAAGTTTTGACATAATAAGCAACTAGCCATAACAAGTAAAGCAGAAAACTTAATATTTTGATCGCATCTAGGTCAGGTTATATTTTATTTAAGTAGAGCACTCCCTTAACAAAATTTTCGCTCAAGAAAAAAAAATTTAGAGATAGGTTTACACAAGGGATGTAAGTCAGGTTTTATAGTGTAGTTCGCTAATCAGACTTCATGCTTACACCATAATTTTGCAAGAAATATATTAGATGTCCGAGCCATTAAAAGAAAATAAATCTATCAATAGAAGAAATTCACTAACCTCAACCTTTTTAGAATTAATTCATAAGCTTGAAGAAAAATTCCACCACAAGGAATTTCTTCTTAGATGTTTAAAAGTTCTTAATAAATCAGTTGCTTCCCAAATTTGTTTTGATACAAAATATGATGGAGGCAGGTGGCCTTTTTGATGAGATAAAGTACTAAAATTTGCTATTGATATTTGATTTTAAGTATAAAGATGTGATGCCGAGGTTTTGGTAGAATTTTAAAAGATTTAAGAGAGAATGGTGGCTAAAATAACAAGACTAGTCTGGATTAGGTTAGTTTGGGCTGAACTGAAATCACTTTGGCAATGTGGCTTAATAATGGGTAAGTGGTTAGAAAATATTATTGGTGGTTAGCTTAGGATGTCTACTTATGATCTAGAGAATAAGACTAGGTCTTAATATGCTCTTCATAGGTCTTGGTCAAGAGCTATGAAGAGGAGTTTGAAATGGTTCTGAGGCATTGGTTGTTGGTTTGTTGATATTATTAGAAGCTTAGAAAGTGGATGAAGAGTGGTGAAGAGTTTAAGGGCAAGTTTAATGGAAAATTAATGAATAACATAAAAGAAAAGCAAAGATAAATAACTAAACTCACCAAAGAAAAGGCAACACTTGAGGCCACCAAGCAAAAAGCAACAATAGAGAAAGTTCTCACCCAAATATTTCATTTAACAAATGATCCAAAGCATTACATATCAGCCTTATTTATAGAGATTACAATGATAAAAAGTAAATAAAATGAGAAGAAACTTTTAAAGGGAGGTGTGTGGCTATTAATGAGGAAAGTGCTAGCCACCTTCCTAATTTATTATTATTTTCTTTTCATGACCAGTCATAAAAGCCTCAAAATTTGAAAATTCAAACATTCTAGAAGCTGAAATTGAAATATAGATAATAAATACAAATTCAAATATCTCTTCTTGATATAGCTTTTGTGAAGGGACTTGAATGGACTCTTAATTGGGCACTTTTTTAGGCTCTTGTAAGTGGACATTCGGCTTCATTTTGATGATGTGCTAAATCAACCTTAGGAGTAGTTGAGTAACTATAAAACGCAATGTAACACATTCAAACAATAAACAGTTAAGGAATCCCTAGAAAAATTAATATTTCATTAAACTCGTGAACGACATCAAAATCATTGATTTCACTATATTCCTTCTCTACATTTACAAGCAAGTTCCTACTTGGATGCTCATTGGCATACAAGTCAATTTGGTGACAACTACATGATGCCTTCGTAACTTTGACCCAAATGCAGATGTAAATGATTTTCTGTTAATATTCTTATTATTTATAGTGTTACTATTATTAGATATAGTAGGGGCGACAGATTGAAATTGATTTTTTAAAAAAATGCATAACACACTAAAAATGTAGTAACCCTCTTAGAAACATAAAATTTTAATATTTGCTCAAAATATAATGCAAGTTCAATAATAATGCATATGATAGAATGTGATTAGGTGTCATTTTCTCTTAAATTAGTTCTAAAACTAGACCTAAACATAGAGATTTTTTAGGATCTTTAATGACAAATCTTCAAATTTGTTCATGTATTGAAAATATTTTTTCCTAGCTTCAATGATTTAAATTCATCAATTGCATCATGATATTATAGGCAAATATTTTTTCTTTTAATAGTTCATTCATTCAACCCATATGACAATAGGTTCGCTTGCTAACCTATCTCTTCACCTCTCCATGTTGATCTAGTAGATTTTAGTTTTAATCAATTAATTCCATTTTCACAAATTGCACCCACCATTCATCTTGCAAAATTTGTCTTTCAAAGAAATTATTCATATTTAGAAATCAGCCAAAAATAGCTTAAGGATTAATTTTACCATTATAGGTAGATACTTTCATTTTAACTTTTCGTTAAATCATCATATAAGTCAAATTTGTAATGTTTAGAAACAAATTTGGTCATGAAATGATTGTTAATAACACAATTTTTTAAGTACCACATTTTGGCAAAAATCAAAGAGTGCTAAATTAGCCAATAATACATTATGCAACAAATTTGAAAATAAAATAAAAGATAGGAGTTATACAATAACTAGGCCTCAAATGATCCAAGAAGATAACTTCCACCAGAATAGGTAGTTGCACTTTAACCTCACTAAAAGGAATCACAAACTTGCACTAATAAATTAAAATTTGAAAATAAAAAATTTTATTCAAGCCACAAGTGGAAATTATACGCCACAAACCACTTATAGCTCATAATTTGGGCTCATAAATCGCAACATGTATCAAGAAAAGTGTAATTTCTGCACATTAATTTTGCATCTTTGTTTAAATGCATAATCCCAACATCACCAACCTAACAGCAGTTCCATACAAATGATGCCATAGAACACCACCCAAAAAGATTGTTCCGCTTCCATTCTCATGACATTGCTTGTCTAGAATGAAAAGGCGGATGCAGGGTTCACAATGGTTACTCTCTTGAGTGTCATACAAAATTAATTATTTAATAATATTTTCTAATTTGCAAATTCTAATGATAAAAAATGATAATAAACAAAAGATAGTGTGAAAATTTTAAGATATTTCATCTCCATATACAATGGTTACTCTCTTGAGTGTCATACAAAATTAATTATTTAATAATGTTTTCTAATTTGCAAATTCTAATGATAAAAAAAGATAATAAACAAAAGATAGTGTGAAAATTTTAAGATATTTCATCTCCATATCATCCCATCCCAACTAGTTCATCATCTACGGTTTTGATAATACTTTGTGGCCGCATACAAATTGGTTCCACTAAAGGTGGAAAAAACTAAATTACTCTACTGATGTTTTATTCCCAAAATTTATAAAAATACTAAATTAGTCCCCATACTCCTTTATGGTTTAAAATAGTCCTAATTGACGATCATTTTAATGCATATTAAAAGATTCTAAAAACTAAATTGATAATTTTATAAACTTTGGGTTCAAAATGACCACATCAAAAGTCAACGGATAAGTTTGACAATTAAAAAGTGTGCAAGAATATTTAGATGTGATTGTAATAATTATGAAAAAAATGATTGAGGCTCCAATAAATTACTTCTTATCGATCGTCACTCGAAAGAATTTCAAAAGATATCAAGGTTAAGGTCATTCTCATACCTTGAGATCCGACTGCATTCAATCATGCCATTTGAGTAATCAACCATCCATAGCAAAGAAAAAGAAAAAAAAAATCATTAGCAAATCACTTGAACTTATTCAATACAAAGATGCAAATAAATAATTAATTGATATAAACTAAAATAGTTGAAAAACTAAAAAAATAATTCTTAAAAGTAGTTGTTTGCTTGCCTCCATTATAGCTTGAAGTTCACGTGTTACGATATGAAAAGAGCCTCTTTGGAAAATAATAATGGTAAGGATACATAAATCACCCCACCTTAGAGTCCCTCATACTGAGTCCTAAAATTATATAAATAAGATATATATACTTTTTTAAGGGGTTTGTTGACCTCATTTTGAGGTCATTACTTTTTCTTTAGAATCCTAGGATCTAGCTCTAGGAGTTCCTATTGACTATCTTAGAAAACTAGTATTGGCATCCATTTGCTTAGAAATTACAGCCACTTCCTATTTCTCTTGTGATGTCTCGCATTGATGATCTCAAAACTATCATCGTATGGTCGAGTGGTTAAAAACTATCATGTGGAGACTCAAGGAGAAGTTCCCAATAGGATCTTAAGCTCTAGGAAAACCTCTTCAGGATTTTATCATCACACACACATACAAAATGCACAAAATTCACTAAGTTGCACAAGATCGAAATAGAATTAAGCTTAAAGGATGGGTGAAAATGAGAACTTCTCCAGATGACCTCCAATGACGAAATGGACTGTGTTAACGCGTCCGGGAAACCAATTTTAGCTAGGAAAGACACTCATATTGCCATAATTTCGCGCACAAGAAAATTGCACGCAAATCGATGGATTCATCAAAACGACCTCCGATGACGAAACGGACCACGCCAACATGTCTGAAACGCAGAATTACTTAGAAAAGAAATCTATTTTGTTATGCTATGACGCACGAATAAAATGTACAAATTAAATTTTTATTTTTGAAATATTAAAAACTTTTATATTTATATTATTAATTATACTATTAATTTTAACACTAAACCCTATTTATCCCCTCACCCGTGCACTTAACCTTCCACTCAATCCCGCGGCTCGATCGAAGCCCTAGCTCCCGCGTTTCCTCCGCCATTCGCGAACAGGCTCGCCCTCCTCTTCCCCCACACGCGGCAATCCCCTACCATTCGCGCCCGTCCGCACGACTGTGCGGCTCGCCAGTTGGTGTCCACCTCGTGTCCGACCCTTCTTTTACTCGAGGTTGTATTTCCTCCGCCCTAAATGCATTTCTCATCTCCCTTTACCTGATTCGACCACCAGTGAGGATGGTAGGTGGCTGCTCTTCTCCCCTTTGCCTATAAAATCCTACCTGAAGGAAGATTTTGGGTTGTTGAAAATTTTCTAAGAGAAGGGAGGACTGAAGTTTTCGCTAGTTGTTGTTCGAGGCTTTTAGGAGGAGAGGGCTCTACCGAAGTTCCTTCTCTGCTAGGTTCTTGTGTGTTGGGTGTTTGGAAGCTTGGTGGCTTTTATTTTGTTTTCTTTTAGGAAATCTCAAGCAAGGTATTTATCCCTTCTCTTCTCTAATTTGTTGCCCTGCTCGATGCACATTGGAAATGTTAAAATAGGGAATGCATACATGAGGCTTTGTTTTATCTTAACTGATATTTCGTAATGGCATTGATATCATGTAATGGACCTTTAATACATTTATTGGATCTGATTTAGAAGTTCTATGTTGATTAGTTGAAATAGCAGTTTAGGGAAAGCATGTTTGGATCCATTGTCACATGCAAATCTTCTTCTTACGCTTCTATTATTTCTATATTTGTATGCTGAAAGTTCTAGTCTTCTTTCTTTTCTCCCGGTTGAATCAATTTATTGTTAAAGGAAGAGTAATTTTAGGGGAAAGGATTGCTGGCATTTCTTTTCTGCTCGAAATGCTTGGGAAGACACAGTTATGAACTCTGAAATTATGAACTCTGAATTATGAACTCTGAAATGATATTTGCTCATCTAGGATTCATGTTGAAAATGAAATATTGATGTCTTTTATTATTGTTATTCCTATCCAGATAAATGCTGAAAGTTCTGTACTGATTTTCCCCATTGGATTGGTTTGATTTTGGCTCCTTCTAAGCCGGATTTTAACTGAAAGTTCTGTACGGTTTTGCCCTTGTCCTGGGCTTGGTTTTGCTTCAAAATTGTTCTATTTTTGCCCCTTTCCTGGGCTCGGGTTGGCCTGAGATTTGGGCCCGGTTTTGCCCTGAAATGGTTTAGTTTGGTTCAGTTTTTGCCCCTTGTGTTGGGTCTGATTTTGTCTCGTGACAGCTGGGTTTTAGTTACCCATTGGGTTAGGCCTTACTTTTGGGTTGGCCCTGTCTTGAACATATTTGAGGCATGTTTTTTTTGTTGTTTTCTTTGATGTCTTTTACAATTGGAATACATAAACAGCTGAAATTTGGTTTCCAAGACTCTTGGTAGTTGCTTTGAGTCCTGTTTTGCTCCTTATAGTTGTTGCCCCTCTTTTCGAATCATATATTGGAAGGAATGATGTCTTTTGAGAGCTTTTAAAATTTATTTCATGAAGTCTTACTTTTGTTCCTGGTTTCTTCCTCTGTTCGAAACACCTGCAGCTGGAAATGTGAGATTTTTGAAGCTTTTTGGGCTTGCGTTGTGGCTCTGTGTTGCTTTTCCTGGTCTTGAGCCTTTCGGTTGTGAACTTTCTTTTGTAGGGTTGGGAGCTTATATCTTAAAGGGCTAGTGATTTCCCTTGGTTGTCCCTGGTCATGAGTCTCCATGCTGTGATTTCCTGTTGCTTGCTCCTACCCGTGAGCATCCCTATTGTGGTTCCTTTTGTGTCGTTAGTTAGTGGCTTTCCCTCTTTGGCTACCATTACCCGTGAATTGGTAAATATTGTTCTGGGATGGTGGTTTCTCTGACTGCTTCTACCCAAGTGCATCTGATTGGGATTCCCCTTATACTGTGCTCGGTTTTGCTTAAAATTAGGCTCAGTTTGGTGGAAATCATGTTATGTTCTTGGCTCTTATGTTCTTGGCTCTCTTTTGGTTATGTTCTTGGCTCTCTTTTGTTGGGTTTAATTGAGCTGAAATTGTGTCTTGTTTTGTCCCTATGTTGGGCTCGATTTGCTCCCTGTGCTAGGTTCGGTTTGACTGTCATTGGTTTTCCATCTTGTCCCTTTGCTGGCCTCGGTCTACCTTTTTACGGCTCTCTGTTTTATCCTTCTTGTGGGGCTCTGTTTGCCTGAGCTGTTAGGTTGTTGCTCTTCTTGCAGGGCTCGGTTTTAATTGAAGATTCTCCAGATAGCGTACCTCTTGAGATTGTTATTAATAATCAAGTTTGTCATCCTAAAAATTATGATTTCAATATGTGTTTCTACATGGGAATATTTGATATAAGCAGACCAACTCACTATCATGTCTTATTTGATGAAAATGGTTTCAATTCGAATGGTTTATAAGAGCTTGTTCATTCACTCTCTTACTCTTATGTATATCAAATAATGGCAATATATGTGGTGGCTTCTCATTTACTATTCCTACCCGAGAATACCTGCAGTGGTGGTTTTCCCTTGCTGCCCTTACCCGAGAGCATTAACATGGTTCTTTTATTTTGTTTGGTTGTTCCCTGATTCCCCCTTTGCTGAGAATCTGGTTTAGTGATTTTTGTCTGCTGCCTTTACTCGTGAGCATCCTAGATGATTTCCTTTTGTCTTGTTTGGTTGTTCTCTGCTACCCCTGACCGTGAGCCTTCACTTGTAGCTCTTTTATGTTAAATATGTTTGATTTGGGGCTTGGCTTTCTCCTCGTTGCCCCTGACCGTGAGCCTTACTATTGTGATTCCTTGGTTTGTGTCGTGGTTGATTTGGGCTTAGCTTTCTTCTTTACTTTCCCTTAACCGTGAGCCTTACCTTGTGATTTCTTTATATGGCAAATTGGAGGGTAGTGGTGTTGGGTTGCTCTCTTTATGGTCCCTAGTCGTGAGTTTGTTTTGGGGTTGGGCTGCTCTCTTTGTGGTTTCTGGCCATGAGCTTGTTTTGGTGGTTGGGCTGTTCTCTTTCTTGTCCCTACCTGTGGGATTATTTCGGGACTTGGTCGTCCCTCTTGGCTGTCCCTCTCTGTTGCCCCTAGCCTTGAGCACTTATTTGGTTTTATTTGGATAATTTCGCGCTTATATGATATGGAAAGCTTTTGGTTGGAGGTTGGAGTTGGAATTGGATGTTGGAATTGGATGGCTTTAGTGTCTCCAAGATTTTAGGAATTTCGAAAGTTGTCATTAGTGAATTTGCTTGATTTGTGAAATTTGAAGGCTTCTACAGCTTGTGTTGAAAAACATGAGATGATATAAATCGGATTCATAAAGAATTTAAAAGGAAAGCTTGTCAAATTGTCATTCATAAAAAAGTTTTGGAAGTTTGACATTAAAATTTTGGAAAACATAAATGCCACACTTGGGTTCAGGCTTGGGTGTGTGAGTACATATAGGTGATGGAGCTGTGGGTGAAATTGTCACATTAGTTTTGGGCCCGTTTCGACCTATTCAAAACAAGATTTGGAATGGATACCCTTCTTAGGTTGATCCATTTATGAAATTCGAGAAAATGATATCCTTCTTGGATTGATTCAAGAATCTTGAGCCCTCCTTTTCAAACCTTTTTGTTACAAGTTTTAAGGGTTGATTCACCCTTCGTCTTTTCGATCATTTAGGTGGATCAGCTCCTCTCTCATCCTCATTTTTTCTTTTTTTTTTCCTTGTTCTTGATTCTGTTTTCAGTGCTTATGTCTGACACATAAGTGCTCCCCGAGGAAAGAATATGATATTTTGCTATATATGAAACCATCAAGCAAGGTCGCAAGTAGGTCGGTTTTGTTTTGGGGCTTAGAGCGGTGATGACAAAGGCAACAAAGGCACGCCGGCGGTAGAGCAGAATGATATTTTATCCTACGACATCAGAACCAAACCCTGGGATCTGATAAATTATAAGATGACTGTATCATTCACCTACACAATACTAGTGGGGGACCCGTACCTTCTTAGGTTGTTGGCGGTCCTACGCCCGATGGCGTAATCGACTTGTTGACCACTATACTTTTCAAAACTGATAACATGATAAGAACAAACACAATATTTATAAAAATATTTTCACAACATTGATACAATTTCCTTTTTGTATGCCTGAAATCCATGTGCATGTTAAAATATAAATTTTTAAATGTGATACGTTTGGTTGTCCACTTGTTGATTACCGATACTGCGTGAAAAAGTACCCTCCTAAGTTAGGTTTAGTAGGGCACTCTCCTAGTTGAGTAGTGAGCTTTATACATCTGGGTGACCGATAGTAGTCTTCGACGTCCCTCGGCTATTTGAGCCTGGCCCCGACCCGAGTGCTTGAGTTCCTCTCTTTTTGAATTTTTCGTATGTTTTATTGAAATTTTTGTGCAAAGCACTCGTGTCCCTTTTCTGGGATCTTCCCGAGATTTTGATAATTTTTTTGGAAATGTCATTTGTCAATTTTCCCAAGTTTTTCCGTCATGAGTCATTTGTTGATTTTTACCGAATTTTCCGTCGTGGGTCATTTGTGGATTTTCTCGAGTTTTCCAGGCAATATTTCTCTTATTTATACAGTGTATGCTAGCTCAATTAAAGGAGCAGCAGACTTCCCAAATATACAGGTTTGATTTACAATACAGCATTTTACTCTGCAGCATATTGTATTGTTCTTCTTCTATGTCGCACATTCTACTGTTCTTTTCTTTTATAATGCATGTTTTATAGTTCTATTATACACTATACCTTAGTGTAGAAAAATCTAATGATTACATGTACCCTTTAAAAATAATATCAAATCCGACGGTGCTACGACGAGGATCTTGGAGCGAACACCTTGGGCAGCACGACGAGGACACTCAGAAGAGCAACGTTAAAACAAATTCATATCACTAATCACTTTCCTTAATTTAAATAACAACCCATAGGATTTCGAGGTGGTTTGCCTAGCGCAGCGTACTCACATATCACTTTTAGACTTTTGCATAACCCTGTTGTGTTATTATAAGTTCTAACACTTTAGGACTGAGGTTATTGTACGGTACAGTATAAATTCTCCTATTTTTTTGGGTTATTTGCACGATTAGATATCGTGCGAACATAATTCCTAAATTCTAAATAAATTGTAGGATTAAGCATTGAACAACATCATTTCAAAGATATAAAGCCAAACAATAGGATAGTTGGGAGGTCACCAGAGTTCTCACTGGATCTGTGATATCCCCTACTCTGCGCTCCTCTGGATTCCTTAAAATAACTGTTCCAATTTGAGCCACTCCAGTTTGATTTTCCCGTGTCCAATCTTGAAAACCTAAACTTTGAAATCTGAAAAAGTAAAACCACTTATCTTAATCGAGAGTCTTTTTAAGTGACCCCGGTCATTTAAGATGTAATTAACTATAGGGGCTTGCCTCTATAGGGAACTTGGAACCCAGGTAAAATAAATCCTATCTAATTCCTAAATTAGGTAGGGGAACTTGTTGGCCTCATATAAAATATTTCGCAGACCAAATGGATGTCACAAACTCCTTAGTTTAGGTGGTTGAGTCTACTGACAAGTGGTATGCTTATCCCTCTGGATAGTATATTACTTGTGGCACCGTGTTCATCCATCCAAACTGCTTAATATGTGAGATTCGTTTGGTCTCATCTATTTTTAAATTAAAATGTTACTTTCAAAAATCATATTTACATCAAAACTATTTTCATATTTACAAAAATCATATCCCTTTTTCAAAATTAAAACGGCCGACAGGATCATTTGTCTTATTCTATAAAAATGTCAATTTAGCCCCTATACTCTTTGAATATGGGCTGAACTAGTCCCTAAAGAGGATTATTTCAGCCAAAGCTTGAAGAGTCCAGGGAGAATTTTGACACTTTTATAAACTCCATGACTAAAATGACCCAATATAAATAATCATGGGATCATGATGTGCAACAGCCAATACATGTCCGGCCAACTTTGTGTGTGTTGTATTATGTGAGTTGAGTTTTCTTTTAGGCCCTCTCATACAACCTTTCTGTATCTTTTCCGTATTAATATATACTTGCCCTTGGGCTTTTTTTTCATATATATATATATATATATATATATATTATATCTACCTTGATGCTAAAATTTGCTAACCTTGGAGCGAAAAATCCTTCAGAGTAATTTCACAGAGTCTGTAAACGTCAATGCTAACATTTGCATTTTGCAACTGTAGAGACAGTTTTGAAGCGCAATCCACTGCTTGTAAATTGGTTATGAAGCTTTGTTTCTGCAAGTGAGCTACATATTTATTCAGAGCATGGCAACATCTAGTGTGGTTTTTTATCTTATTTCCGCATTCTTTATCAATACTTCTGGTATCTGGGAAGACAAGCGGACAAACTGTGGCAAAAAAAAAAAAAACATAAATGTGCTATTTTAAAAAGTTGAGTACAGTGGACCTAACAAAACTACATGCCATAAAGTGAAGAAATAAAAAGCTAAATATTGTTCTCAAACTATTGATTTTAATGTCTATACTTTACATAAGCTCAATCAAATCAATTTGACAATCAAAGAAAAAAAATTTCTCACACGGACAAAAATATATTGCATCATAAATCAGCTGTCAAAAAAGTTCTGAAGAGTATTAACCCAATGTAATCTTTACCTCCATTGACGTTGCAGTTGGACACGCTTCGAAGAACTTTCGTAGCAGATACTGTGTCGAGTCTACTCGATAACCATCTGAGTACAATGCTTCGACAATCATCAACTCTCGATGCTTTTTCCGTCAAATTATGCATCTTTCCCATCCTCGTTATGCCACTGTCTCTCATCAAAATCTTCTCTGCAGCATTGAAAATAGCATTCTGACATACTTTGCTGCAGCACTCATTCACCGGGTCAACTTTCTTGCAAGCAGCGAGGAGTTTAGAAGAGTCAATAGCACTCTCAACCCCATTGACATCGCCAATGGGGCACAAACCTTCGCTAAGATTTGATGGATAAATTGAACAAATTTGCCGAAGCTCAAAACTGGCTCCCTGACTTCCTAAAATCTGGAGGATATCTGATAGGCAATAGTTTGCATGAGTAGAATCCAGAGCGAGCATCCCCGTCTGCTTGCTTGATTGACCTAAAAGGATAGCGAGCGTAGCATGCAACTGTGGGCAACAAATCACATTGGCCAACAAAGGTGCGAAAGAAGTTAAGCAATCGACGGCAGTGGTTTTCATCAAATCATTGGTGGCGCTGAAGTTTAGCCCACAATGCCCTAGGGAAGCAGAGGAAACCTGATAAAATTTTTGATACAGTGTCTCTCAAAAAAAAAGGACTTTACATACTCAGCGCTCAATTCCTATGTATTAACATATCAGTCACCCAAACTCCATTTTTTAACGTACAAACCATCCGATTCCTATGTTTTCGGAATAGGACAAGTGGTATGTTGGTAAAAATTGAAGTTAAGATGCTTGATATGTTAATACATAGAAATTGGGTAGTAGGTATGTAAATCTCCCTAAAAATAAAGACAGATTTACGTACATACCACTCAATTCATATGTATGTACATATCTAACACCCAAGCTTCAATTTTTACATAATGCCACCTTACCTATACATAAAAATGTGTATTTGACATTTTAAAAGTTAAAATAGTGGCATTTTTATGTGATATGAAGAAAGTATATTTTAGGTGCTACATATGTAAATACATAAGAATTCTATGGAATGTATGTAAATTTCCCAAAAAAATCTGTAGAAAGACGAATGATTTTCTGCCATCACTACCTGATAGTTTTGGTGTGGTACTGTTCATAAAAGGAGCCAAAGGGGAAGGTGTGAGCAATGGAATAAATGGACGAGGAGAACCATTCGGCGAAACATAAGGAAGGAGAGTATTCTCGTTGTTTGAGTTGGTTGAAACAATGGCATGATTCAGCAGCGAGCTATTAGCAGAAACAAAATCTAATATGCTGAAAATATATTGTAAGCCTGAAAGAACTCAATATTGTTACTAAATATTACAGTGTATAGAGTACAAAATAGTTTATTAAACCGAGTACTAGAAACCAGTGTCAAAGAGCTAAGAAATTGACCAAAGTACCCACAAATGGAAAAATTCAATATGTGCCCTATTATGAAAGCATGTTACAAAATAAAATAGAAGGCATTTACATACATAACGCCCAATTCCTATGTATTTACACAGCTAATGCCTAAACTTTATTTTTTACATTTATACCACCCAAATCTTTCATATCACATAAAAAATATCACTATTTTAACTTTTTGAAAGTGAAATACACTTTTTCAGGCCTAGGTAAGGTGGTACATATGTAAAAATTGAAATTTAGGTGTCAGACATGTAAATACATTGGAATTGAGTGGTATGTATGTAAATCTTACAATAAAATATGTGGTAAACACTGAGAGCTACCTTTTCAAAGAAACTCATTTGTGCGTTCTTCTTCTAAGTTTTTTTTATTAAAAATTATATATTAGTGGTGTTGCAAGAGATTTTGATAGTGGTAAAACTATCTAAATATCTGAACATAGGCAAAATCAGCCAACTTTAAGAGAGATGTAACGCAGTAAGTATCAGAGTGCAGAACCTTTCGAGTAGATGAGATTGAAAAAAATATGTTGAATTTTAAACGCCCTTACCAAATCATAAGATGTTAATACCAATTCTATGTTAGAATCTTCATGAATTTATAGGAAGCTTGACTGAATTTGTCTTTTGAAAAAAAAAACATAATAAAACAATGTCTCTCCAAAATAGCAATATTATACTTTAATGAGTTAATGAAATTGTATGGATTACTTAAAATTATGATATGATATTTATGAGTTTTATCCCGGAAACTTTATGGAAAACTGACAACTTTTTTTTTTTCCCGGGAAAGATGAGCTTAAAACATAAAATATAAGGTTTGAACCTGCGATCTCATAGTGGGGATCTACACCCTCAACTACTATGTCGCGAGTAATTGCATGCAAAAAATGATAACTTCATTAAAAGTTTTAACTGCTTTTCATTAACAGGCTGATAGATAAGCTGAAGCAGTTTAATAAAAGTTTGGGTGATCTGCTACAATGTCTGATATGTAAACAGACAACTAAGTGGAATTACATAATACCTATAGCTGAGTTTATATATATAATCAATCGGTCAATGGGTGTCTACAAATTTGTATAAATTAAAAATAGTTACGAGATTTTAACTATAAAAACCTTTAGATTTAATTGAACTTTCAATTCTATTTAAATCTAATAAATGTGCATGATCATTTACATATGCATGTGTTTGCATAATTTGTAGTGAGATATTCACACCAAAAAAAAAACTCATTTTTAATTATAACAACAATAAGTTTATTATAAATGAGAAAAAGAGAAGTTAAATTCAAGCGGAAAGAAAAGCTAATGATCTAAACCAAAAAAGTTTATTAAGAAAAAACATAAAAATTTAATTTCTTGAAAAATAATAGGGGCGATGTAAAGTTACATAATGTACAGGGCCAATAGCTTAAAAGTTCAAGAAAAAATAAATAAATAAAATATTATCCCAATTATACATGCATCTAAATCACCAACCAATTCATTGGATTTTTCACAATTTCCGCAAATCATAAAAATAAAACTTTTACACTAGGCAAAGATAAAGACACTTTTGATGCAAAATCATAAAACATGCTTTATTCATTCCAAAAGATAATTTAAAAGAATATAAAATGCTACAAGAAGCCTGAGAACCGATACAAATTTTAGCAACAATGAAAAAAACACCTCCAAAATGAAATCGGTACAATCAAATTTTGATAAAGTTTTAATCAAGAATGCATCAATTACCAAATAGCTTAGAAGCATGAATACAGGAGAAATCACCAATTGTTGAATTTAGTTCCAATGTTAGCAAAAAGACATTTGTCCCCTGAAAGTTGTGAGCATAACTTGCAAAGCACTTTAAAAACACATATCTAATAGTATACAAAAGCAGTGAGAAAATAAATTAAATTTTATATCATTCTTCAATATTTAAAAATTTTTTACAAATTTTAAAGGTCCTGTCTATAGCCCAAGGAGCCAAAATAAGTAATTCCATAAAAATCATCCAAGATCAAGCCTAAAAATGTAAATTTTAACTCAATAAACTTTTCCAATAAGAATAATAAGTTCTCAATCTTAATTTCAGTAAAACATTAAAAATCTCATTATAGCATTTCTCGTACTATCTTATTATTAACTCATTCTTCTCGTTCTCCACCACTGCCACTCTTCCCTTCTATCAATCAGGAATAAATGAAATCAGGCAGAATAAAGAGTTTCCTTCTTCGCAATACTGCAAAGAAGGAAATATTATATTTGCATAGATTCTTTCCTTTTAGCTGAATAATTAGATTATGAATATGTATTAATTAAGTTACTTAATTTAGATTATACTGAATATTATGTATCTAAAATAGATTGTACAAACTATTATTTATTGGAATGAAAGCAAAGGAAAAGGCATTCAGCCTATTTGCTCAAAATATTGACATGGTATCAGAGCCTGAATCCTTGAAATTTTAACTTTTGTTATCTTTGGCAGGCATCTTCAATTGCTTCCTCACCGGAGCGCTCGTTCTTGTCTTTGACTTCTGCTGCATCTTCGTCGTCCGCTTTGTTTGAGTTTTGTCGCTGCGATCGACTCCCTTCGATCGAACCTCTGGAGCTGCATTCTGCGGCATCTTCTCTGGTGCGGCATCTTCTTTGATCGACATCTTCCGAGGTTTTCTTGATCGACTAGTTCGTTCTGCGGCACCTTCGTTCTGTCGCGATCCGCTCGTCCGACATCTTTCGATACTGCGGCTTCGTTCTGCGGCACCTTCGTTCTGCCACAATCCACACATTCGACATCTTCCGATACTACGGCTTCGTTCGTTCTGTGACACCTTCGTTTGATTGACATCTTCTGATACTGCGCCACCTTCGTTCTGCCGCAATCCGCTCGTCCACTCCAAGTTCTATCGCGATCGTCGCTCGCTCTGCCGCGATCCACTCGTCCGCTCTGAGCTCTGTCGCGATCGTCGCTCCAAGTTCTGTCGTGATCCGCTCGTCTGTTCGTTCGCTCCTTCCGCGATCCACTCCGTTCTACTGCGATCCACTCCGTTCGATCGTCACGATCGCGACTGCTTCAAGCTTCGTCGCGCTCTTCGATCTTCAACCCTAACCTTTCAAGTTGATTTAGATCAACGATTTGAATTTTATTTATCTTGGATATTTCGATCGACGATCAATCTAGTTAAAATGTCTTTTGAAATCTTAGCTATCAGATTTACAGGAAAGAACTATGTCGCATGGAAAATTCAGCTAAGAATGTTCTTAAAAGGGAAGGAGCTTTGAGGCCATATTGATGGTCTTCCCCAGCTCCTACTAAAACAAAAGATCGTGATTAATGGGAAGCAAAGGATGCTCGGATTGTTTCCTGGATTTTTGGATCTATTGAGGCTCATATGATGAACAATTTACGATCATTTCGCACGTCTAATGAAATGAGAGAATGCTTGAAGCGCGTTTATAATCAAAATAATTTTGTGAAACGCTTCCGATTAGAATTTGACATGAGTAATTATAGTCAGGGTAATCTTTCAATCAAACAATATTATTCTGGCTTTTTAAATTTATAGAGCGAATATATTTGTATTATCTATGCTAAAGTGTCAAAAGAGAACTTAGCTAGTCTTCAAGCTATTCATGAAGAACGTCGTCGTGATCAGTTTTTAATGAAACACAGACCTGAATTTGAAACTGCTCGAGTTGAGTTGCTGAACAGAGATCCGGTTCCGTGTTTGGATGTTTGTTTTGGGCAATTACTGCACAAAGAACAAAGATTGGCGACACAAGCTACTATCAGTACAACAGGTGGATCATCAAAAATAATTAATATGGCATAAGCTGCTAAGACCAAAGGGAAAGGGCCAGTGAAGTGCTACAGCTGCAAGAAATTTGGTCATATTGCATGGAATTGTGAAAAAAAGGTATGTAATTATTGCAAGCAAAAGGGACATACTCTTACGGAGTGCCCAACACAACCCCAAAATCGCAAACCACAAGCCTTTCATGCCACAGTATCCGACAATCTTGCCTCGACTTCTACTGTTGCTGATAATAATCAATCAACTGTCAGACCCTATATGGTTCAACAGATGATTCTCGCTGTATTTTCTGCTCTCGGCCTTCAAAGGAAAGATAAAACTATTTCTTCGATTACTTCTCCTTGGTTTGTTGATTCAGACGACACAAATCATATGACTGCTGAGTTATTGTATAATCAATGATCTTACACTAGTACTCAGCATGTTCAGGTTGCTAATGAAAAAAATATTTCAATTACGACAGTTGGTGATATTAACTCATCCTTCAAACATGTTTTGGTTTCTCCTAAATTATCTACTAACTTACTCTCTGTTGGTCAAATTGTGGATAATAACAGTGAAGTATATTTTTCTCGTGATAATTGTATTGTGCAGGATCAGGTGTCGGGGAAGATGATAGCGAAGGGGCCTAAAGTGGGCAAACAGTTTCCATTATAATTTACTATTCCTCAGAATATTTCATTAGCATCTTCAGTTGTTGAGAATAAGGCAAACATCTGGCATAAAATGCTAGGTCCTCCAAATGATATGGTGTTGAAGCATTGACATAAAAGTGGTGTTTTTTGTTCTACAGATAAGAATATAACAGTTGACTGTTCTGTTTGTAAACTTAGAAAAAGTAAGGCATTATTTCTTCTTATTTCAAGCAGTCGTGTCAATAAATGTTTTGACATTATTCATAGTGATATTTGGGGAATTAAACCAGTTATTTCACATGCTCAATATAGATATTTTGTGACATTTATTGATGATTACAATTGATTTACTTTGATCTATTTTTTGTGTTCCAAAACAGAAGTATTTACTGTATTTCAAATATTTTTAGCATATGTTGAAACTTAGTTCTTTGCTCGC